GAGCGCGGCGGCGAGGGCGACGGGCGCATCTACGTGGGGAACCTTCCGACCGACGTGCGCGAGAAGGACCTGGAGGACCTGTTCTACAAATACGGCCGTATCCGCGAGATCGAGCTCAAGAACCAGCACGGCCTCGTGCCCTTCGCCTTCGTGCGCTTCGAGGACCCCCGGTGAGGCCCCCGCGCCCGGCAGGCAGGGCCCGAGGCCTCCGTCTTCCCTCCTCTCCCCTCCCCCGACGACGCCTCCCCTCCCCTCGGCGCAGACCCCTCACGGCGCCCCCGGGTGGAGGGTGAGGCCTCCTCTCCCCGCAGGCTGCGGGCCGGCCTTTGCTCCGTCGTCACTTCCTTTATTTTTGTTATGATTTTTTTTTAGTTAGAAACACTAAACCTGAGCTTTCGGAGAGCCCAAGCCCGCCCGGGCCGGTCTCAGGGCTGGCACAAATAGTACTCTCGCCCACGCTCTGGGGAGGCGCCCTCGGGGAGGCAGCCCCACGGCCTGGAACCTCAGGTCGGGGAACCTGCGCTGGAGAGGACTCCGCGGGCAGCAGAAGTCACCAGTCGCCCTCCCCTCCCCTCCCCTGGGCCAGAACTCGCCGTTACGGGGAACAGGCTGCGGGGATGTAGATGCCTTGGGAGGTCGGAAAGGGGTCTCTGTAATGGGACAGCTTTCCATCCGCGCGCGCCGGTCCCACGAGGCCGGGGCCTCGTCCCTAAACGAGGATCAAGGATTTGGGAAAACTTCTCCGACAGCCCGAGGGGAATCTCTGATTTCACTCCCCTCCTGTAAGGAGGGAGGTTCTGTAGGATGCTACAGGGCCCAGGGATTTGGAAACTCTTCGATCACTAAGCCGTATGAAAGGGGTCTTTCGTGATTTTTGCAAACATTGTGGGCCTTCTGGCCGGAAAAGTACCAGGAGCTTTCACAACAGCGGTTGGCGGTTCTTAGAAGCGGCTCCACTGTACTTGGTCACCCCACTGGGCAAAACAGGAGTCCGCCCCCTGTTTTCCCCGCTTTGGTCTCTCCCAGGGGGACTCACTACAAGCAGTTTCTGTAGGCGTCTTGCTTACCTGGAGCGGAGATATGATTAAGCAAGACTGCACCTGAGCACGGAGAAGCAGGAAGCACTGAAAAATGAAGACAGTTTTTACACCTAAAGGGGAGTAGACTGGCCTCTGTCAATTAGTAACAATGCCATTGTGTTTTTTGAACAGCCACTGTGTGTCATTATTTAGCTTTTTCGAGAACCGTTGCTGTCGTTACTTTTAACTACACTTTATAGATGAGGAGGTTGATTTAGAGTTGTTGAACAGAAAGGCTAGTGAGGAATCATGATGGGGTTTGGACCTTCTGTCCTTCTGTCCTACCCTTAGAATACAAACTCATTGTATAAAATGCTACATTGTCTACTGTCTCCTCATTCCTTTCATAATAGAGAAGCGTTTTTTAATATCTCTAGATTAGAAATTTCAAAGGAAGCACTGTGCACATAGTATCTTTTATTTTTAAAGAAAGATTTTTGCTATAGGGCATTGAGCTCACAGGGAGAAGGAGAGAGAAAGCAAGAAATCACCTCTCTAGGGGAGGGCCACACTGCAGTACCTTCTCCTCCAGACTCCTCTCAGGATTTTAGGCACGCACACACATGCCCAGTTTGAGTTTGAAGCCACTTGGTCCAGGACTCGAACCTGGGTGGGCTATGCGAGAGTCCAGCAACATAATTATTACACCATCTGCTGGCCCTCACAGTATCTTAGTTAATCCTTGCTATAACCCTGGTAGGCATACTAAGGGCCCGAGGCCTCCGTCTTCCCTCCTCTCCCCTCCCCCGACGACGCCTCCCCTCCCCTCGGCGCAGACCCCTCACGGCGCCCCCGGGTGGAGGGTGAGGCCTCCTCTCCCCGCAGGCTGCGGGCCGGCCTTTGCTCCGTCGTCACTTCCTTTATTTTTGTTATGATTTTTTTTTAGTTAGAAACACTAAACCTGAGCTTTCGGAGAGCCCAAGCCCGCCCGGGCCGGTCTCAGGGCTGGCACAAATAGTACTCTCGCCCACGCTCTGGGGAGGCGCCCTCGGGGAGGCAGCCCCACGGCCTGGAACCTCAGGTCGGGGAACCTGCGCTGGAGAGGACTCCGCGGGCAGCAGAAGTCACCAGTCGCCCTCCCCTCCCCTCCCCTGGGCCAGAACTCGCCGTTACGGGGAACAGGCTGCGGGGATGTAGATGCCTTGGGAGGTCGGAAAGGGGTCTCTGTAATGGGACAGCTTTCCATCCGCGCGCGCCGGTCCCACGAGGCCGGGGCCTCGTCCCTAAACGAGGATCAAGGATTTGGGAAAACTTCTCCGACAGCCCGAGGGGAATCTCTGATTTCACTCCCCTCCTGTAAGGAGGGAGGTTCTGTAGGATGCTACAGGGCCCAGGGATTTGGAAACTCTTCGATCACTAAGCCGTATGAAAGGGGTCTTTCGTGATTTTTGCAAACATTGTGGGCCTTCTGGCCGGAAAAGTACCAGGAGCTTTCACAACAGCGGTTGGCGGTTCTTAGAAGCGGCTCCACTGTACTTGGTCACCCCACTGGGCAAAACAGGAGTCCGCCCCCTGTTTTCCCCGCTTTGGTCTCTCCCAGGGGGACTCACTACAAGCAGTTTCTGTAGGCGTCTTGCTTACCTGGAGCGGAGATATGATTAAGCAAGACTGCACCTGAGCACGGAGAAGCAGGAAGCACTGAAAAATGAAGACAGTTTTTACACCTAAAGGGGAGTAGACTGGCCTCTGTCAATTAGTAACAATGCCATTGTGTTTTTTGAACAGCCACTGTGTGTCATTATTTAGCTTTTTCGAGAACCGTTGCTGTCGTTACTTTTAACTACACTTTATAGATGAGGAGGTTGATTTAGAGTTGTTGAACAGAAAGGCTAGTGAGGAATCATGATGGGGTTTGGACCTTCTGTCCTTCTGTCCTACCCTTAGAATACAAACTCATTGTATAAAATGCTACATTGTCTACTGTCTCCTCATTCCTTTCATAATAGAGAAGCGTTTTTTAATATCTCTAGATTAGAAATTTCAAAGGAAGCACTGTGCACATAGTATCTTTTATTTTTAAAGAAAGATTTTTGCTATAGGGCATTGAGCTCACAGGGAGAAGGAGAGAGAAAGCAAGAAATCACCTCTCTAGGGGAGGGCCACACTGCAGTACCTTCTCCTCCAGACTCCTCTCAGGATTTTAGGCACGCACACACATGCCCAGTTTGAGTTTGAAGCCACTTGGTCCAGGACTCGAACCTGGGTGGGCTATGCGAGAGTCCAGCAACATAATTATTACACCATCTGCTGGCCCTCACAGTATCTTAGTTAATCCTTGCTATAACCCTGGTAGGCATACTACTCACATGAGAGATGTAACAACTAAACACGCAGAGACAGCTACTAGTAACAGAGCAGAAGAATGCTACGGACTCAGCTTGTTCATACTCATGGTATGCTTCTTTTTATTTTTTTAAATTTTATTTATTCATTTACTTATTTTATTTTGACCACAGAGAGAGAGAGAGAAAGTGAGAAAGCAGGCCACCAGGTCCAGGACTTGAACCATGGTCAGCCATGTGGAAATGTCCAGCACCTTAACCACCATGCCACCTGCTGGTCCCACTCATAGTATGCTTTTAAACTAGCAGTTCTGCATCCCCCGGGCATTATGTAGTCAGAGTGGCTCTGGAGGATTGTACTCTTATTGTAGAATCCTGGTAAGCTACTGTTCTGTGACACTGAGCAATGCATTCTTTAGTACACTCTTGACTCTGCTGTCCTTTCCCCATCCGGTCCTAGAGAACTAGCTTGGCATCCCAAACTCTTCTAGAGCCTTTTAAAAAACTAAATAACTTTATTAAATAGTTACCTCTTCTGGCAAAATTGTACCCAAAGTGCTTTTGACAATGTAATTCTCTAAATCAGGCTGAAAAGGTATACTTAAGAGAACTCTGGGGGGCCAGCAGGTGGCACAGTGATTAAGTGTTGGATTCCTGCATGGCCTACTGCTGTCACGTCCTAGACCCTGTGGCTTGAAAATCAGTCTTGGCGTGTGTGTGTGTGTATGTATGTATGTGTCTCTAAAATCCCAGGAGGAGAGTGGAGAAGGTATTGTGGTGTGGCCAACCCCCCTGGGGGGGTGATTTCTAACTTTCCCTCTCACTGTCTCTCTGGAGAACATATGTGTCCTATGGCAAAAACCTTAAAAAAAAAAAAAATCATATATTGGGCCAGCTGGGTGGAGTGGTGGTTAAAGCACTAGATCCCACATGGCCAACTGTGCTGTTTGGGATCCCAGACTGAGCAGCTTGAAAAACATGCTGGGGTGACCAGCAGTTAGCGTAATGGCTGTGTCACTGGACTCCCATGTAGTTGACCGCGGTTCGCGTCCCAGACCCGGTGGCTTAAACTCACGCCGGGCGAGTGTGCATGCGTCCCCGAGATCCCGAGAGGAGAATGGAGGAGAAGGGATTGCGGCGAGGCCATCCGCCCTGGGGGGTGATTTCTCGCTTTCTGTCTCTCTGTCTGTCTGGTGAGTGCACGCACCCTCCAGCAAAAACCTCTCCAAAAAAAAAAAAAGAAAAGAAAAAGAAAAACATGCTGGGTGCATGCGTGTGTGTGCATACCCAAATCCCCATGAGGTGCGTGAAGAATGGATTGCAGTGTGTCCATCTCTCTGGGGGTGGGAGTGTGTGGGGTTTCTCATCTTTCTCTTCCTTTCTCTCTCTCCCTCTCCTCCCCCCTCTCCAGCAAGCATATGTGTCCTATAGCAAAACCTAAAAAAAAAAAAAATTGTGTATTCATGACAAAATACTCATTTGTGTTGGTCTTTTGAGCCTTAGTTCCTTCTAAATTAGTTTTGGGTTCTGTAGATGTTTTGGCACCGGGCCTTGTAGAACAATGTTACGGAACTAGTGTAGGATGAGCATTTTGAGAAACTGCTCACCAAGGTTAGAGAAATTGGGTTTTTGGCAAAATCAATCATATTATCAGGTTTTTCCCTCTCTGAACTAGCCCTCTTATAAGTATGATCTGTTTACTCAGTGTCACGTCATACCTATGACAGCTATAAAGTTTTAATTCCAGTATCATGGAAGGTCTTCATGCCAAAGCAGAAATGCATCAAGACCCTTTTTTGTGGTGGTTGTTTTTTTTTTTTGGGAGAGGTTTTTGCTATAGGGCGCGTGCACTTGCCAGAAAGACAGAGAGAGACAGAGACAGAAAGTAAGAAATCACCCCCCATGGGGGATGGCCACGCTGCAATCCCTTCTCATCTATTCTCTCGGGATCTTGGGCACGCACACACATGTGCCTGACGTGAGTTTAAGCCACCGGGTCCGGGATTCAAACTGCAGTTGACTACATGGGAGTCCAATGACATAGCCATTGAGCTAACTGCTGGTCCCAATGGTGTTTTTTTAAATTATTCAATTTTTAATTTATTCATTTATTTATTTTAATTTGATCAGAGAAACAGAGAGAAAAAATGAGAAAGCAAGCCACAACGTCTGGGACTTGAACTGTGGTCGGCCATGTGGGAGTGTTCAGCACCTTAACCACCATGCCACCTGCTGGTTCTGATTTTTTAAATCACACTCTGGTTTTCCTTTTTTCCCCTTTATTAATTAAAAATTTTTTTAAATTTAATTCCATTTGTTATTATTTTCCAATTTGACCAGACAGAGACAGAGAGAAAGTAAGCGAGAAAGCAGGTCGCCAGGTCTAGGACTTGAACCATGGTCCACCATGTGGAAATCCAGCGCCTATATCTACCACGCCACCTGCCGCCCTTTCCCCTTTATTCAAGATAGAATTTAACGAACATGTGAGACTGGGTGAGAAAGAAAGATGAGCACCCTCCACAGGGTCTACCATTGCTGTGATCCCCTTCCTTCATTTGTCCAGCCCATCGGATCTTGGTCACTTGTGCCTGTCCCTGGTATGTTTCTGGTTGGCTGGGAATTCAAACAGTGGTCACCATGTGGGATGTGGCTTCTCTTGAATAGTACCATTGCCAGTGGGCCATGGAACTGGCCCTGGGTTCCCTCACCTTTTTTTTTGAGAGGTTTTCTCTATAGGGTGCGTGCGCTCGCCAGACAGACAGAGACAGACATAGAGACAGAAAACGAGAAATCCCCTCCCAGGGGGAATGATCATGCCGCACTCCGTTCTCCTCTATTCTCCTCTCGGGATCTTGGGCACGCACGCACATGCGCCCGGCGTGAGTTTTAAGCCACCAGGTCCGGGACACAAACCGCAGTCTGCTACGTGGGAGCCCAGAGACACAGCCATTACACTAACTGCTGGTTCCCACCTTTTTTTTTTTTTTTTTTTTTAATGAAAGTGTTTGCCATAGGGCACGTGCACTCTCTAGAGAGATAGTGAGGGGGAGGCGTGAGAAATCACCCGCAGGGAAGATGGCCATCCTGCAGTCTCTTCTCCATTCTCCTCCCAGGATTTTAGGCATACATGCACACAAGCCCAGCGTGATTTTCAAGCCACAAGGTCTGAGACTCAAAGTGTGGTGCAAGACTCAAACCGCAGTTGACCATGTGGTAGTATAGGACCTTAGCCACCACGTCACCTGCTGTCTCCCTAGGTTTCTCTTATCTTTTTTTTTTAAAGAATTATTTTATTTAACTTTGTTTATTTTAATTTGACCAGTGAAGGACAGAGTGAGAGAGAAAGAGAGAAAAAGAGAGAGAGAGAAAGCGAGAAAGCAAGCTACCAAGTCTGAGGCGTGAACCATGGTTGGCCATGTGGGAGTCCAACATCCTTAACCAACATGCCACCTGAGGGCCCTGGTTTCCCTTTTATTTTTATGCATGCTCCTTATTGAGAAATCACTTGGCCTCATGAGCAGCACTAATTCCATTTTTTTTCCTCTTTTTGTTGCAGAGATGCTGAGGATGCAATTTATGGAAGAAACGGTTACGATTATGGCCAGTGTCGTCTTCGTGTGGAATTCCCCAGGACTTACGGAGGTCGGGGCGGGTGGCCCCGTGGTGGGAGAAATGGACCTCCTACAAGAAGATCTGATTTCCGAGTTCTTGTTTCAGGTATGTCTCTTTCAAACTGAATGAGACAGTACTTGTAAAATACTTAGCAGAGTCTGGCCTCCAAGAAAAGTTAGGTGTTATTTTTCAGTGCATGAGACATGTGAATTTCCTTTTCAGTAACATATGCACAGTGATATTCCGAAGCCCTGCTCTGGCTTGCCAGTGAAACAGGTATCCTGCAAATGAAATGATGTAGATAGTACAGCCTTGGAGAACGTAAACATGGTGGGGTTTTTTGTTTTTTTTTTGAATTATTTAAGTTAATTAGTTAATTTATTTTGATTGACCAGAGAGAAAGAGAGAGGGAAAGTGAGAAAGCAAGCCACCAGGTCAGGTCTGGGACTCAGACCGCAGCTGGCCATGTGAGAGTCCAGTACCCTTAACCACCATGCCACCTGCCATGCCCCATGCTTTTTTTTTTAAATAAGGTTTTTGCCATGGCATGTCGGCTCACCAGAGAGACAGAGAGAGAAAGTGAGAAATCACCCCCTGTAGGAAGATGACCACACCACAGTTCTTTCTCCTTATGGGATTTGGGACATTCATGCCACACACCCAGCATGATTTTCAAGCTGCTGGACCTGGGACCCAAATCATGGTCGATCACATGGGTGGGAGTCCAGCACCTTAACCCATTGGCCCCAAACATGCTTTTTTAAAAAAAAAAAAAATTTTATTCATTCATTGATTTATTTTGATTTGACCAGAGATACACAAAGAGAGGGAGAGAGAGGGAAAGTGAAGAAGCAAGCCACCAGGTTTGGGACTCAAACAGTGGTCAGCCATGTGGGCGTGTCCAGTGCCTTAGCCACCACACCACCTGCTGGTTCCCCCAAACATGCTTTTTAATAAAGGAGTTTTGGGGGACCAGCAGTTGGTGTAATGGCTTTGTCACTGGACTCCCGTGTAGTCGACCGAGTTTCACGTTCCAGGCCCAGTGGCTTAAACTCAGGCCGGGCACGTGTGCATACTTGCCTAAGATCCTGAGAGGAGAAGGGATTGCGGCATGGCCATCCCCCCGAGGGGTAATTCCTTGCTGTCTCTCTGTCTTTCTGGTGAGTGCACACGCCCTATAGCAAAAACCTTTTCCAAAAAATAATAAATAAATAAAAATAAAGGGGTTTCGGGACTAGCAGATGGTTTAGTGTTAAGGTACTAGATTCCCACATGGCTGACTACAGTTCCAGTCCCAGACCTGGCAGCTTGCTTTCTTATTTTCTCTTTCTCTCTCTCATGAGTGCATGGGCCCTGTAGCAAATGAAAAAATAATAATGATAAATAAAATTAAATAAATTCTTCAAAAAAATAATAAAGGCGTTTTCTAGTGTTGAGAAAGGAAGGTGATGACAGAACCCATTGAGCTGGAATTCTAAAGACTTTTCTTGGAATGAATCTTGGTATTGACTTGTTAGAAAGACATTCCAGGAAACATACCCAGCATTTTTATTTAATTTGCTATAGTTTGCACTTGTCTAAGACAGACACAGAGAAAGTGAGGAAGCGCTTGCAGGGGCGATGGCAGCTTGAAAATCCCTTCTTTTCCATTCTTTGTGGATCTGGGTACACATACACACCTACCTAGCGTGTTTCCCGAGCCACTGGGCTCAGACTGAAACTGCATAATTGGCTCTGTGAGAGCCAGTCACCCTAACCACCACACCATCGACTGGCATGTACTCAAGCCTTAGGTGAAATAGGCTAGAGTTTGTGGTGGTTTGGGAATTACATTTTAACTAAAAGCAACCAAAAAATAAAACCACAACTTAGAGTCATAGGAATTATATTGGAAAAATTTCTATCAAGCGTTGACAAGAGAAGAAATGGTAAGTTTAGAGGTTTATGGATCTTCGGAATATTTATACACTGTTGGGCCAGCCAGTGGTGTGGGGGTTAAGGTGGCAGGATCCCACATGGCCAATTGCATGGTTTGAGTTTCAGACCCAGTGGCTTGAAAAACACACCATGCACTTGTGTGTGTGCCCAAAGGATTATGGTGTGGCCACTCCCCTGTGGGGTGCTTTCCCCTCCTACCTCTGTGTCCCCCTCTATCTCTCTCCAGTGAGTGCATATACCCTCTAGCAAAACTTAAAAGGGAGCGGGGAAGATAGTAACATACTGTTACAGACATGGGATGCATTACAGAGGAGTTTGAGGACCCTTTGGGAGTGAAATATATCAAGGAGCCTGTACCCTTTTCTTGGGAGAGGTTTTTGTTATAGGGCACATGTGCTCGCCAGAAAGACAGAGAGAGACAGAGAGACAGACAGCGAGAGATCACTCCCCCGGGGAGATAGCTTCGCCACAATCCCTTCTCCATTCTCCTCTCGGGATCTTGGGCACGCGCGCACATGCACCTGGTGTGAGTTTAAGCCACCAGGTCTGGGTCTTGAACCACGGTCAACTACATGGGAGTCCAGTGACATAGCCATTACACCAACTGCTGGTCCCAAGGAACCTGTACCTTTTTAAGGTGTAACGTCAACACCCAGCATACTCTGATGTAATAATTTTAATATCTACCTTTTTTCTTTTTTAAGAATTACTTAATTTATTTATTACTATGATTTTTTTTTTTTTTTCCACACGAGTTTTGCTGTAAAAAGACAGGGAGAGTGAGAAAGCAAGTTGCCAGGTCTGGAACTCAAACTGCGGTCAACTATGTGAGAATTTGAGCTCCTTAACCACTATGCCACCTGCTGGCCCCTACCTTTTTTTTTTTTTTAAGATTTATTTATTCAATTCCATTTGTTGTTGTTATTATTTTTAAAAATTTGATTGGAGAGAGAAGGGAAAGCGAGAAACCAAGCCACCAGGTCTAGGACTCGAACCGTGGTCAGCCGTGTGGGAAGCCAGTGCCTTTAACCACCATTCTACATGCTGGCCCTCCCTTTGTAGTTTTTTAACCCCAAAACCCCGCTTCCTCCTTCAGGATGTCATTATCTTTTTCTCTCTCCATGCTGCTCTGAAATCCTGCAGTCCTGAGCTGTGAACGGTAACACAGCCTTTGAGAGCAGGAGCACATTGCCCTTGCATGATGACAGGTAGGGTTGTGTGACTCCCAACTAGTTTTAGCATCTGAGTCTCATCTCTCCCTCACTGTAGTGAAGAATGTTGATGCTCTTTGAAAGGTACTTTGTCTGTTTTGTCAGCCCTATCTACAAGAACACAAAACTTGATTTTTGTTGTTGTGTTGCTACCTTCAGTTACAAGTTGCTTATTTCATTGGCGGGTTTCAGAATTTTCACTCCTTGGGAAACATGGTCAGGCACGAAAAAAATGGTACTGATAAATTTCATAATGGAAAAATTAGAAACTCAAAGCCTTGAGAGTCTGACTTCGATCACAAAGGACAAAGAAACCGGCTGAATTCTCAGAGATACTAACTCTAACAGGACGGACTTCTTGCTCTGTCGGAAAGGCTTCTTCTGGAAGATTAGCCTAGGCCAGCTTCTCCAGGTGGTTTACCACTCATAATTCAGTGCTTTTCTCTGCTTTTGTGTCCCTTATCAAGATTTGTGATTTGAGACCCTTGGGATTTAAGTGATTCACGGAGAAGGGACCAGAGGGATTGCTGGCTTATAGAAGGGCAATTGATACGGCTGAAGGACGTGGACTCTTTTCTTCTGTTCTCCGTGCCTAGGACTTCCTCCCTCAGGCAGCTGGCAGGACCTGAAGGATCACATGCGAGAAGCTGGGGATGTCTGTTATGCAGATGTGCAGAAGGATGGAATGGGGATGGTTGAGTATCTCAGAAAAGAAGACATGGAATATGCCCTGCGTAAACTGGATGACACCAAATTTCGCTCTCATGAGGTGGGTCCCTACCTTCTGTCGAGCACCTTGTGCCCAGGTCACTGCACTTGCTCCTGACCTAGAAGTAACAACAGGCTGTGCCGTTGCCATCTGATAACCTCCCTGTACCAAAGACCCATCTTATATCTAAGAGGACAAAGCCAAGGAGTTTGCTGTGTCTAACCCTTGTGGGGTCATTGCAGAGGAAAGTGTGTATTCATAGTACAGTTGACCCTTAGAACAACGTAAAGGTTAAGGGCACTTACTCTGTACCTAGTCAAAAATCTGCATATGTCCTTTAAACCCTCCCAATACTTAACTAGTAGCTCTTTGAAGTGGTGGGCAACCAGAGCTGCACACATCAGTCTATGGCACATACCAAGCAGTTCAACTTTTTCTTTTCCTTTTCTTTTTGGTTAAGAGATTTTGCAATAGGATGTGTGTGCTTGCTAGAGAGACAGTGACAGAAAACAAGAAATCACCCCTCGGGGGATGGCCACACCACAAGCCCTTCTCGTCCAGTTTGCTCTCAGGATCTTGGGCATGCAGTCACACACACCCAGTGTGAGTTTCAAGCCTCCAGGCCCAGGACTCACACCGTAGTCGGCCATGTGGGAATCCAGCAATGTAACCATTACACCATCTGCTGCTCCCTAACTTTTCCTTATCAGGGCATGACTTTTTACTTCTTCCTTGGAGCACTTCCAGGATCCCTAGTGGCACCCTGTGTGGGCCTCAAATGTTATGCAGGGTTTAAGGTATTGTGCTAACCTGGAAAATACTCTGGAACCAGGAGAGATCATTTTTAACTATGCTGCTCAGATGCTCAACTCACTGGAAAGATGGACTGTGCATATGGAAATGACTGGCTATAGGGCTTGTACTCTTTCCAGAGAGAGACACAGAGAAGTGAGAAATCACCTCCTGGGGAGATGGCCATGTTGTAATCCTTTCTCTGCTCTCTGAAGATTTGGGGCATGTGCGCGCGCGCACACACACACACACACACACACACAGACACTATTTTTTTCAATCCACCAGGTCCAGGATTGAATTGCAGAGTTGGCCATGTGGGATCCAGTGCCTTCACCAGACTTCATTTGTTTTTCTGAGGATTCATATAATTCCTAGTTAAATGGTTTGAGAGCTTTTCCCTATATGGCTTAACAACGCTTTTGTGCAGACCGTCCCCTAGGACTCGAATTTGGAGCAGAAACAACAGTACCTGACCGCCGTTACACTGCAGAACAGGGCCGCAGTAAGAGTAAATCCAGTTACTGCCTTTCACCAGTGGCAAAGCAGCTGACTTTTAGCAACTTCAGATCTTCTACAAATGCTGGCTGAGGACGGAGGGCCTGGAGACAGACCAGCCTGGACAGGACTCCTCTGCTACTTGTTTTTCTTTAATTGACCTGAGGGCACAGGTGCTTGTGGTGGTAGAGATAAGAGAGAGGAAAAGTGAGAAAGCACCCCACCCCCAGGGGGAATAGTCACATTGCACCCCTTTCTCCATTTCTCCATCCTGTCAGGATTTCGAGTGCGCACGACATGCCTAGCGTTTTTGTTTTGTTTGATTTTTTTGGTAGTGGTTTTTGTCTTAGGGCATGTGTGCTGGTGGGGAGGGGGCAGAGAGAGTGAAAGGGAAAGTGAGATATCACCCCTCCAGGGGGATGGCCATGCCACTACAGTCCCTTTTCTTCCCAGGATCTTGGGCACAGATGCACACATGCCTGGCATGATTTTGAGCCACGGGTTTGGGACTTGATCCATGGTCAGCCATGTTGGAATGTTGGAGTCCAGTGATATAACTGCTGTGCCATCTGTTGGCACCCCCAGTGTGTCGTGGTTTGTTTTCTGGTTTTTTTTTTTTTTTTTAGATTTTTGGTATAGAGCATGTGTAATCGCCAGATAGAGACAAAGCGTGAAAGGAGACAGTCCCTTCAGTCTCCTCTCTGGATTTTGGGCATATATGCACAAGCACCCGATGTGAGTTTTAAGTTGCTGGGTCCAGGACTCGAATAGCAGTCAACTACGTGGGAGTCCAGCAACGTAGCCATTATGCCATCTGTTAGTCCTGCCCCATTGCTTTTAAAATCCCGTACTCTAACTGCACAGTGGGCCATGTGGGATCCAGCCACGATTCCACTGGCCAACTCCTCTGCTGCATATTAATATCTTTGCTGATTCACTCTATAAACTTGTTTCTCCATTTGTAAAATGTCATGCAATGGCACTAACACAGGTCTTTCCAGGAAGCTCACTTATGAGGATAATGAACATCCGGTCTAGGTCCTGACCTATGTGTCAAAAACAGGTTCATTGTGTAGATGCCCATCCAAGGGTGTGTGCATGTAAGGCGGCAGGAGACTGAACTATGTGACCGAGACTCATTCCACATTCTGGGGGGTCAGGGATAGTCATTTACTTACGTTATCAATAATAACTAATATTTAAGTATATGTCAACATGCCAAGTTGCCACTTATCATTCATGTCAGTTTGGGCAAATGATAGACCTTAAATCTTAATTTTCTTCATTCTTGAAATGGATAGTAAGTATCCACCTCATGTTACAGTGAGGGTCAGGCACACAGTAAGTGCTCGGTACTTGTTAGGCAGCATGTCAGGTGTTGTTTTGCTTTGGATCTTAATTTTCCCTTTATTCTTTTTGTTTGAATTTCAGGGTGAAACTTCCTACATCCGAGTTTATCCTGAGAGAAGCACCAGCTATGGCTACTCGCGGTCTCGGTCTGGGTCAAGGGGCCGCGACTCTCCATACCAAAGCAGGGGTTCCCCACACTATTTCTCTCCTTTCAGGCCCTACTGAGACAGGTGATGGGAATTTTTTTCTTTATATTTTAGGGGAACTGAGCTGCTTTGTGCTCAGAATCTACATTCCAGATTGATGATTTAGTGTCTTAGAAGATTTTTTTAATTTTTTTTTTTTTTTTTTTTTTAAGGAAAAAGAAACTACATAATTTCTACCAGGGCCATGTTAGCAGTGAAACATTAAACTGCAGAAATTGTGGTTTTGGTTCAGAAGCAAGTTGTATATTTTTCACCCCTGATTATGGGAAAAAGGAAACCGTGCTGTATCTTTGTAGATTGTTCTGCTATGGAGATCAGCAGCTACCATGACCGAGTCGGCCCATTCTGTTTAGAAATATATTTTAAACGTTTAGTAATCGACATGTGTGGTTGTCCTTGATTAAGTTACCGGAATTTACCAAACAGGCGAACTAATTCGAAGGGAAAAAAGAGTCATTGAGTTACAGCGTCATGTTGTACCCAACTGTACAGAAGCATAAGTAGGTAACTTTATTTGGGGATAAAGATAGTTACTTTGATGACAACTTCAGCCCTAAGGACTTGTTAAGGGTTGTATTGTCATTCGAGACTGGTTTCATAAATTAAGCTGCCTTAAAGAGAAAAGGAGCATTTCAAATCAAGGGTGTGGGAAGAATAAAAACAGATTTTTTCAAAATGAGTAGCAGCACAAAGATCATTGAGGAATTCTTAGCCAAAACCAACTTTGGTAGTTCAGTTAGGGAAAAAAAATTCTATAAGGTCTATTTCTGTCACTTTTACCCCTATATCAGTCTCATTTACTCTTGGTATCTGAGCTCTTAAGAAACAAAAAGGAGGGCCAGTGGGTGGCATAGTGGTTAAAGTGCTGGACTCCATGTGGTTGACCATGGTTTGAGTCCTTGACCCAGCAGCTTTGTGTGTGCTCAAAATCCCAAGATAAGAATGGAGGAAAAGGGATTATGGTGTGGCCATCCCTCCTGGGTTGCTTTCTCTCTCTCTCTCTCTCTCTCTCTGGGGAACACACACAGCCTGTGGCAAAAGTCTGTCAAAACCAAAACAAAACAAAACCAAAAAACCCAAAAGCCCACCATCTTACATTCGCCAATTCAGTAATCATTTTGGAGGTGAGAGGGCTAGTTTGTCTCAGATCCAGAGCTATTTTTGTGATAAGGTGTCTTTTCAGACAGATATGAGGCATGGCTAGCATCCCCATAATGACTGCTCTGCAGGATGGCAGTGGGTGTCCATTAGAGTTCCCTGGTTAGTTTGAACACTTTTCAGACCTTAGCAGAAAGATAGCTCTCTACTCAAAATGGTACCCAGAAACATTTTTCTTTTTTAAGAATTATTTGATTTTATTTTTATTATTATCATTTTTCAGTTTGACCAGAAAAAGAGGGAAAGTGAGAAAGCAAGCCACCAGGTCTAGGACTTGAACTGTGGTTGATCATGTGGGAGTCCAGCACTTAACCACCGTGCCACCTGCTGGTCCTCATACCCAGAAACATTTTAAGTAGGTTAGCCAAAGATGGCAGCTGCTCATGTCAGGGTAAACTGCAACTAAAAATGACAACTCTGGTTGTCCCAGATGCTCTGTTTATGGGTATGCAGTGTGGTAGACAGTCTTCTTCAAGAGAGTTAAGTAGGGAAACATCTACATAACAGGCTGCCTGTAAGTACTTATCTATTAGAAGTGGGCTTTTGTTCTTTGGTTTACTTCCATTAGCATTAGGAACTCATTGCCTTGTTATGGCTAGGTCTTTCACAACTCCGTCTTCAGAAGAGGCAGTTACTAAGAAGTAACTGAAGTTATCCACTTTTTCAGGCGACTGAAGGAAGTAGGTTCACGTCAGTATTTGCAATAACAGAACACCACCAATGCCCTTCCACGTGTTCACAGGGTACCCCCCTGCCCAGAACAGCTACTCAGCTGAGTGGGAAGGACTCTTATTCATCAAGCTTTGGCAGAGCGATGTTCCCTGTATAAAACAGCAACCAAAAGAATGTTACTGCTGAGCCTCTGCCCTTCTGGCTTTCCCAACCTAACTCATGGCTTCATTCATGGAAAATCAGCAATGCAAAATAAGCGGAGCTACTATCCTGCGTTTCTGAGTACCTGAAAGCATCACAGTTAGTTATAAGTGAAGCCAAACGGATGCACACTTTTCAGTAAGGAGTAGTAGACAGGTTGATGAGGAGGTTAGCCATTTACATGCACATGGGAGTGAATGGACCATGGCTATGAGCTCAGGTTGCCCAAGAGGCAACGTCCCAAGCCAGGTTCTACTTAGGAGATAACACACAGAATCAATAGAGAAATGTCTGCTGAGGCAGCAGCAG